TTATTTAATTCAATATTTAAAATATAACGATAGCGTAAAAATTTTTTCCCCCCCCCCCCGGGGGGGAACTCATTAAAAATTTATGTGGTGTACCTAAAGTAATACTTTGGGGAAAATTTATATCCATAATTATATCTGAGCTTCTACTCAAACTAGAAAAAGAAGAGTAAATTCAGCCAATGTAAGAAGGCAAGAAATGATAGTTCATATAGTTGCTTATGGAGCTGGGGCTGTGCAACTTCATAAGTCTGCATGCTTTTCTGAATTATAAAAGCAAAAAGCATAATTTTTCCTACCTGTTTTCTAAACACATTTTCCCTAAAACTTTGGGTGTCACTCTTTCTCTAAAGCTCCCCTCTCCACCATGTGGCTGCTGGTCCACCACGTGGCTGCTGGTCCACCATGTGGCTGCTGGTCCACCATGTGGCTGCCCTCTATGCTAACTTGACTTACATGGCATGGCTTTTCCTCTTTCTCGTCACCTCCCCCTGCAGGCAGTTTCCAGGATTTGCAGTTTGCTGCCCTGAGTTCTTTTCATTTAAACCAAAGAAAAATAAAAGTATAAGTTTAGAAAACAGCAACAGAACAGAAAACAGAAATATCTACTATGGGAAAGGTGTTAATACATTCAAAAAACTAAATAACACAGAAAAACTTCTGAACAAGTAAAAGCTAGCAGAGCTTCAAAGAGAAGGGTGACCTAATAGTCTTCCATCTATCAAAATATTCAATTTTGTTAGACTCTATGTCTGGTAATAGTGAGAATCCATTAATAACTGGCAGTCTGGGAGGGCTAATGCTCTGAAGAACTCTTGACCCCGAGGAGAAGCAGAGAAGGGTTTTTAAAACTAAAAAACACGGTTATATCATACCAGGGGCAAAGCCAATAACCATATTTACATCAGATCACCATAGTTACACCAGAACGGGCAGATAAGTTAACACATGGGTTTTCAGTTAACAAAAAGTTTCTAAGTTTTGAACAGGAAAAACAACTTTCTCAGAATTGCAGAAACAGTGGGCTCCTTGAAACTGCAAGTGCAGCTGAGAGAGGACGTTCTGTCTGGCTAGTTGTAAAACAAGGTACTGCCTAAGTGAGACTCGTCTGCCTAGCTCAGTCAGTAAAGCATGAGCAGGGGGCACAGCTGGGCAGAAACACGGGGTGAGCAGAGGTCAGCTAGAATAAAATGGAGTCAGTTTTGCCATTTCAGGATAAACATTTCCGCTAGCTCAGGAAGTTTAATTATTAAATTCCACCAAATGTTTGTGGAATAAATACAGCAGTATTATACAAACCCTCCCACACTTCCGAACTTACATCACTTTGATGTAAAACCAGAAAAATCATAACAGGAAAAGAAATCCCTCATGAAAGTGGATTAAAATATTAACAAAGTATACTCTAGGCATGGTGGAATAGGCCTTTAATCTCGGCTCTTGGGAGGCAGAGGCAGGCAAATCTCTATGAGCTCGAGGTCAGCCTGATCTACATACTGGGTTCCAGGTGGGCTGGGACTAGGGAGACACTGTCAAAAACAAAGAAAAGTAGCAGTGATCTCAAACTGAATCAAGCATTACATAAACAGAATATTATATCCAATTTACTGACCTTCCTTAAAAATCAATCATCAATCAGTCAATCAATCAATGTTTTATTTTGCCAGACTGAGAAAAAATATTATCAATAGATGTAAGAAAAGCATTTGATAAAAATCAATATAATCTTCACATCTTGTAATTTCTGGCCTACCGGATTTATTCTCCCTCATGATTGCTTTTCTTGGTCTCCAAACCATTTGTATCCCACTGAAATGCTTTTTGGAACACCCTCTTTTTAAAAAGATTTACTACTTAGTTATTTGTTTATATGGGGGGTGGGCATATGCATGTGAGTACAGGTGCCCTCAGAGGCCATCAGATACCCTGGAGCTGGAGTCATAGCTCCATACTGGGAACTGAACCCAGGCCCTCTATGAGAGCAGTATGCACTCTTACCTGCTGAGTCATGGGAGAAATTTATATTCCAAATCAAGCAACCTCTTTTCCTTCCACACATTTGTGTTAGATGATTTTATCTCTTTACCCCGAGTTGCCTTTTTATATGTTCAGTTCAAATTCTAGGAACCTAGCAATCAGAAAACCATAAATACATTTACTATAAAACAAAGAATGCTTTATTTGGATGCAGAATGGATTTGTGAATCAGAAATGTGGGCTCAGCGAGACGGAGCCTTCATCATTCTGCTAAAGGAAAGTAAGCTTGGGCTGTTCTCAGTCCAGGGGTGAGAAACTGACATGAGTAGGGAAGGGTGATCACACACTTCCATGTCCACTGACTCATCCCAGTCTGATTATGTCCTTATGTACACACAACCCCACGCTTAAAGTCAGCATGTCAAGTGTGCGTCAATATACGTTACCCTCATGGGTTTCTTTTTTTCCTTCTGGCAATAGAAGCAGGGAGGATATACTTTCTTTTTAAAATACAATTTTGTGCAGAGATAAAGGGGTGATGAAATGCCCATCTTTGAGTTGCTGGATCAATGCTTAGGTCAAAGAGAAAAACATGCAGTTGAGGGTCTCAGGCACTGCCACAAGAGTGGGTCTCACTTATTTCTTTATTGACTAGGCAGCTGGAAAGGTTTTCAAACACAGGCTTTCCCAGAGCCATGTGACTCACAATTACTTTAAAGAAGTCTCTTCAATAGTTTGATCTTATTAATCTCAGTGAGATATTTATTTTAAGGTATTGAGGTCTTGGCATAAATTCATTCTCAGTGCAAATGACTATGGGTAGTTTTAAGAATTAAAAATGAGACTACTGTTGGTGGTGGTGTCCTAAACCCTCAGCTGCATATCTTTCTCTGAGATGTAACATTTATTCATCAACTCAGGGGTGAATATTTCATTGTCTCCTTCTCTGCACAAGAAAGAGAAAGCAACTCATTTCTCATTCCATAAGAAAAAACACATGAAGCTCTAAGCCAGTTATATAGTCTGCCAGTCTGCTTCGGGATTTTGGACCACATCAGACAGCAGCAACTTCTCCTTGTTGACTTCTGGATTTTGG